AATCCGGTTTTTAAACCATTGGTTTAAACAATGTGCATTTGAACAACTCATCACAAAATATTATGTGATGTTGAAAAATCCTTTAATTGATTATTGACATCGAGATGTATGAATATATATAAAAAACAAAAAGGGATTCGGATCTTGAAAATAGTATATCTTGCAACATATTATTTAGACCGTCTATTTTAAAGATCTTCTTGTATTTATAGATCTACTTGATCTGAACCACTTTCGGGGTTGAAAATCTTCTAATTAGATATGAAATTTGACTTTTAGGTCAATTTTTTACACCAGAACATATTTATGATAGAATTTGGAGGTGCGGCTTAATTTGATTGTTTAAAGTTGCAACCTTATGCAAACCACACCCAAACATGAATACATAATAAAAAAATATACATTTTGTTTCTTTTTTGTTTCAAGATTGGTGCTCAATAATTATAATTTTCTCACATAATGTATGTCAACCATTATTTCTAGTTGTTTTGGTATAACTATTTGTATGTCATATTGATCTTTAAAAGTTGTATGCTCAAATCTCTTAAATAGAAATTTGTATTAAAAAAATATAATAAATATTATTTAAATTTGAAAATTATATTTTATGTCAGTGGAACTACGCTCACTTCTAATTCCGGGACCATATTTTTTTGATAGAGCACTCGTGAGACAAATATTATACCAAAAGAAGTGCCTCCCTCCATTTAATGTTGTTAGTGTTGTTCTCTTGGGAATCCCATCATTTCAATATGGTAAGTTGTCAAGGGAAGTCCGGCATTTCTCCGGGGTGAGTTGTCAAGGGAATCTATTATAGTAATTATACTTCGGATAAAAACTCATGTAATCATGGTTGATAGTATTGTTGGTATATCCTTCAACCAAAAAGTATTATACTCCTCGAAAGTAGACTGTTCATTCATTCCCTCGGGTAGAATGCCAGTTAGAATGAACTTTAGGATGCCAAATTTTGGGGATTTAACCTCTTCTACCCATAGATTTAGTAGAGTGTTTATTTACTCCCTCGGGTAGAATGCCACTTAGGATTAATTTGAGGGCCCCATTGATTGGGGATGTAACCTTTCAAACCTATAGATTAATCTCAATTGAAAAATTTTCTAATTACAACTTCTACGTACTTGAAAACAGATAATATCTTGAGATTGAATATAGACCATCCAATTTTTATATAATGAGATCTAAGTGTTAGAAATTTTTAATACTTCCAAAAATTTCATATTTTATAAATCTACCGAGTAGGTCTTTGGACTGCGGGAATAGAAGTAAACTATGCCATTGAAGAAGCATAGTATATGTGCTCTATTCTTAATACAAGAACTGGGTTTTGAACCCATGACCTTTACGAACGAACAAAAGAATTGGGTCATGGCGTATCTATACTCAAGACACATTTTTTTACTATATCTATCGAGTGTGTCCACAAAATTTATTCTTTGGCACATACTGATCATATGTTAGAATATTCTAGAGGCATGTCAATGTGTTTCTAAATGTCAACACAGTTAGCATTGTTGAAAACACCTTACTAGGCTTGGAGATAGTTTCTTTGGCTCATATAGGGTTGTGCAGTGCTGGCGTGGTTGCATGTCGAATTTTTTTTTGCCTAAGATGCAATCATATATTCATTTGAAGCATTTGAATGGAGCACTTTCTATCTTCACCTCAATAAGTACAACGCAAAAGCCAAGTAGAAAACTTCCTGATATCGAGAGATGAGTGGGGTTTATAGAAAGTTTCTCATTATTTTGAAATTTGTGTGCACTCATCTTAAAAATCAAATATTGTGTGCAATCATTATTTTTAAATGTTTGTGCACTCATCTTAAAAATCAAAGATTGAAATGTGTGTGCGCTCACCTTAAAAATCCAGATTGAGTTCGTGAATGATGTTTTAGTTTCGTAATTTCTTATAGTAGATTAAAAACCTCTAATTATGAAATTTAGAAAAAAAAAAAATGATGTGGATTGAGTAGACCAGTAAAGAAAACATATAATAGGAATAATATGTGACATTGTTCACTATTTTTTAAGAAGTGAAATATTTTTTTTGAATCCATACATCTTGAGGTAAAAATTAATATAATGGAGCGTTTTTCAACTTCTTCCAAATAACATTTTTCGACGGTTTTTTGAGGTGCGCATGTAGATGCCTCGATCTCTGTTGAGGAAACTATGGTGGACCAAAATACGCTGAGCAAGCCAGCTTGATACTTGAACCACTCATAGCTACCGTAAACCAACTGTAAACTAGTCTCTACAAGCCCTTAAGACACTTGGGGAGAGCCGATACGCTTGAAAAGTGATATAAGTCAGAACCGGCTTCGAAAAAGACAACTGAGGAAAAATCCGGAAGCATAGAGACCTGACGCCACTCCAAATACTGTCTGGGACACTTCCAATTGTGGCAGAAAGGTGAATCCTACAAAAGCATAAACGAGCGACCAGAATTGAGAGAGAAGGGTCCGGTGCCACTTATAGTAGTGTCAATGCCCCCTTGGGCTTCTGCCAGACCAAAAGCGCCCAAAACGGCAGTAGTCTAACGGAATTGATTTAAAGTTGTGCGATTATGCTTCTCAATACGGACTGACACCTGAAAAAACGTATTGACGTGACCACCGGTGTCAGTACAGACTTGCGTGTTGGCTTTGGGTTGGTTGAGGTATCATCCACGCAGCTACCGGACATACAAGCTGCCAATACCTGTCTGACACCATCTCTACTCAGAATGCTACCATAGGAGCTCCAAATAGCAACATATCCTGATCCCCTGCACGGCCAGCCCCTTAAAACGTGATGCATGGCATTTTTTTTTATGGACAAAGTCTGAATGGCGCCCAATTCCTGACACATTTGT